TAATTTATATGTTATATACTTTTAAAATAATAATAATAGAATTTGATCTTTAAATCTAATAATTCATTTTTAAATATTAATATTTGAATTTAATTAATTAAAAATTTGATTTTTACTAATGACTTAAATAATTTTCTTGTTTTTTGTAATTCTTTACGTTAAAAAAAAAATATAATAATAATAATAAATTTGTAATTGCACAACACAATATGGTACATTACTAACAAAAGGAAACCTTTAATCTAAGCTTCACGCAACTTAGGGACATCAACCGTTAAATTCTGTTGTCTAGTCCACATCAAACGGTGGATTCTTAATAACAACGGTATTAACGACTCCAGATTCTGGGATTCAAGCGAAGATTCTGACTTTTCTTGTTCTTTGATTGAATGCTGATGTAATTCTGCAAACTTCAATGATTGAAGATTTGGCATTAAAAAAACCGAAGAAGAAGAAGAAGAATGTTTTTCAAAGTAAGGAACAACATGTCCCCCTCACTTTCCATTGTTCTTGCCTCTGGGATAGCATTCTGCTTGATGTCCAAAAGGTCGAGGCTTACTGGGTTAACATTCACACTTAACCCACAATTTGACATGGGCCAACCTATCCTTAACATGGGCTTCCCTTGAATACACTATAAATCCAGTATCCAGGATAAGCTGAATTTTCAGTTCTGGGCCCTAAGATATCCAATCCAAGTCACCGTGGTTTCATCTGTCTTGAATCTATTGATAAACCTTGCTGATTGAAGTGTTTAATTTGTTGGTGAAGTTTAAAATTCAAATTTTAAGATTGATGCTTAAAAAAATAATAGATAATTTTATTGAATATACTAGACCGATATGAGACCCATCTCCAAAATGTCCCAAATATAACTTCTTCTTTTTTTTAACAGGATAATTTGGGGAGGAAGAAATGTTGTTTATAAGGTTTGAAAACGTAATCTACGGGAGATGATCTCCACTTGACCAAAAGTCTCGACTACTAGGTTGGGGCATGGGGTCTAAAAATAGCTAATCTTGATTCTTGAAATACTTGTAAATTTCTTGAAAAATTCCCTAACTATCTAAATTTAAAATAAATATTGATAATGTCCCTGCACAGTCAAATACGCAGAAGAAGAAAAGAGTCATTAGATTTTGTGAAAGAGAATATTGTAATGTTTATATATTTATCGGTTTCTCTAACCTCTACCATAAAACATACGTTAAATGTGCAATAAATATATATATATATATATTTATAATTAATTAATTTACATAAGAATTTATAATAGTTGACTTTTATTTTAATATTATTAATATGTAAATAATTCTAATTGATTAACTAATTAAATTAAAATTAAAATTAATATTTTTTATATAAATTAATTATATAAATATATTAATTATTTCCTTAATCCGTGTCACCAAATATTTATATATTTATCTAGTGCAACTTTTGACCATTGAAAGTGAAACATGCATGATCCATGGATTTCTTGCAGTAGATGTTGGACTTCACATTAGAAGGGGACATTTTCCTTGGAAGGGGAAAAATTTTCAA